CATCATGTGCTTGGGCTCTATCTATGTGGCCCATGCTGCCTGAACTTTATTTGCATCTTTTGAAGACTTTCAGCAGGGATGCAGTTCTTAACTCTCAGCAGTGTTTCTTAGACTCCCCTTTCCTCTCCTCTCCATTCTCTCACACCCTGGATGCTCCAGAGTTCCTCATTTGGCAGATTCCCCCAAACACATCTGGACGATTAGATGCTCCGAGGTTTCTGCGTCTCCTGCTTTGCTGACATGCGTGCTATTGTCCTTTCTATTCATTGCCTGGATTTTTCTTAGTGATGGAAAGAGCATAAGAACTAACGCAACAGGCAGTAACTCTTCTTGCTTTCTTCCTTCTTCTCTAGAGGAGTGTGACTTTCTCTTCTACCCCTGCCTCCCCCCACCCTCCCGCCGCCCCGCCCTGCTTCCTGTCAAGAGCCTCCTGCTTCTCAATCACCAGTGCAGGAAACTAGTTTGGCTAAGAAAGCCCCTCCCCTACCCCTACCACCTCCTTTGGGGAAGGACAGAGGGGGAAGTTGAGAGGGATAAAGCAATAATTATTTTAGAGGATGTGAGAAAAGATGGGATAGTTGGTAGTTATACCTCATTTACGTATCCATCCATTCAGTTACTCAATCATTTATTGAGTACCTGCCATGTGCCATAGGCTAATAATATAGAGGGAAATAAGATACCATCCTGGTTTTCATGGAGCTCAAAATCTTGGGTGGGCAGTGGTATGCAAGAACCAGCACTCATCCACTTGCTAGAGCTGCTTGTTAAATTTTTAAGAATTTTGTGAGTCAGTCATTAAATATAACCCTTATTAAAATTATGTGATTTACTAATAAATTATCTTAAAGACATGGTAAAGACTCATCTCTTCCCAATTATTTTACTAATGGGCTTCCTTGGTGGCTCAGACAGTAAAGAATCTGCCTGCAAAGTGGGAGACTGTCAGCAAGAGGTCTGAGGGTTGGTGAAAATGAGCTAGACATAGGGGACAACGAGTGCGGATAGGGCAAAAGAGCTTGGTATATTTAGGCAATTGTGAGTATTTTAGTACTTGAGTAACAAAAAGTCTTCAGGACAGCAATGAGATAAGGAAGCACCAGGCTGGATCTCTTGAGATTTCTTCTGTATGCAGTGAGGAACCAGTGAGAAGTTTCACATAGGACGTGCCATGCACACAGTGACATTCTGTAAAGATCCTTCTGAAGTCTGTGAGGAGGAAGTCAACTGTAGTAACTACCCAGCTAAGAGATCATGATGGCCTGGACTGAAGTTGTGGTAGCAGTGACTGTGAGAAGGGAGTGGAGTAGAGAGAGATGAAAGGATTTAGGACTGATGGGACTTGTGGTAGTGTGTGAAGTGAGAGAGGGAGGGAAGAAGACATCAAAGATGATATTCCAGTTTCTGCCTTGCATAGGTGAGTGGGTAGTTGGGTATGACTCTGAGACAGAGAGTACAGAAAGGTGAGTAGACTTCAGAGAGGGTGGGGAACATCAGTTGAGTATAAGTTACTATGAAAAATCTAAGTTGGGGACTCAGTTCAGATAATGGATATATGGATCTGGACTTTGGAGGAGACGGGAGGGTGGGAGAAAAGGCTGTGGGAGGTGGCATGCCATGAAAGAGGGCCTAATGTTTATAGTTTATGTATTTTTGTTTATAATTATTATAGGATTTTATGTGTATTAATTTATAGTTTAATTTTGAAGACCAACTTTACTTTCATTTTTAAGATTGTTAGGGTTGGGGGCAGTGTTTGGGGCAGGTCATCCCCTCTCTGCTCTACTGTCTACCACCCACAGGGACAAAGTGGAGGGTTTTCAGATCAGAATTCATTGATGATAAATATGTCATGAAGGCCTGCTGTGGGCATGGCCTTCTGCTGGGCAGGCTAAGCTGTTGAGAGTCCTTGGACACATCGTCCTTGCTTACCAGGAATATGGAGTCTAGCATGAGGGGGCTGGGTGTTCAAATATGTGCTATGAAAAGGTCATCAAACACGGGTTTGTATTCTATGTGCAGTTGAGTTACAGGCCAGAAATACTACAACACTTTAGGGGAGGCAGAGATCACTTAGGAATGAAGTAGTCAAAGGACTTCTTAGAGGAGGCAAAACCTAACCTACTGGGCCATCCTGGAAGACTGCAAAATTCAAAGACTAACACAAGGAAGAGCAAGCTTCCCAGGTACTAGTCACAGGAGATTGTTGTCAGCGCTTCCAGCATGTCTCTCTTTGATCTACATCTGTCCCATATATGTAAAATAGAACTAATAATGTCTGTCCACTGGGCCTTTATGAGCTCTAATCTCATAAAGTTTCTGTCAGAAACCTTTAGTTGTTCTCTGATCAATACCAGATATTTTCTCTTCCTGGCTTTTAAGTCTCTGCAATTTGAAGACAGTATTTATAATGAATATTTGTGCAGTGTTTTACAGTTTCTAAATTTACTTCAGCATTGCAAATATAGTTTAGTATTATAAAATATGTCATATACCACATTAACAGATTAAAGGGAAACATCCATATGATCATCTCATTAGATTCATGAAAAGATTTGATAAAATTAATATAATTTATGATTGAAATTAAAATGTTAGTTTCTTAATTTGATAAAGGCCATCTACAAAAATCCTAAAATTAACATACAATGAGGAAACATCACAAACATCTTTTTAAAATTTAAAATAAGGAAGATGACAATATTCATTAGGACATTTTATGTTTATCATTCTGTGATATATGTCTAAAGGTGGTATAACAAGGTCAGTGGGGAAAAGGAAAAAGTATTCAATAAATGGAACTTACAGGAAAAAATTAGATCCATATTTCATATGGTGACATAAAAATCAACATTAGATAAAATAAGGACTTAAATATCAAAAGTAAAATCATTAAACTTTTAGTATAAAATAGAAATTTACATCTATCCGGCCTGGAGTAGGGAAGGACACCTAAGTTATAAAAGAAATTATACTTGTGGGATTTTTAATAGGAAGTTTTTAATTTTTACTAGGTCCTCCCTCTCCTTGATAACATTCTCTGTTTTGCGATTTTCTTAATGTTTTAAAACACATGATTCTGCCTTGATATTTACCATCCTGTGCTTAGCTGACTTCTTTGCACCCAGAGTGCAGATAGTCCCACAGTTCAGATGTCTGTGGCTTACATTTTCCTGCTGAACTAAAAGTGGGATGGAAGCCAGTGGAGGCTAGTGTCCTGGTTAGACAGGCTGTGGGTCTGGCATGCTGGTTATTTTGGAATGTTCCAACTTTACCAGTCCCAGTGTGAGATCTAGAGAGACTCTCAGGTCTCTGAAACTTTATCTTAATCTTAGCAACCCCTTTCTTGAGCCAGTTTGCAAGGCTAGGTGGTAACATCAAAAAGAAGCCCACTAGAGAAAGGCAAGGGAAGTTACTGTCAGTGTCTTAGAGTTGGTGTGAACTGTGGGTCCCCAAATCTACTCCAGTGGAGAAGGTTCCGGTTTTCTGTGAGAAGGCAAAGCTTAGCCTGGTCCAAACAGACATAACTCCAAGGTCTCAGACTTGGCTTGGAGCTGAATAGTTTTATCAGTTTGGGGAGAAAGTCCTTTTCTTGCTCATTTTTTGCATTCTTCTTTCCCACCCCACCATCAAGTTGAGACATGTTGCTTGGAAGTGATTGAGCATCTCGTTGGCATCCCATAGGAATTTGAGTGTTTTGTCTTTGATGTAGAAGGCTTTGAGATTATAGGTGCCTCTTACTAGTCACCACTTGCTCACCTAGCCCACATATAGTCATTTTATAACAGTTACAATCCCTTGTCTTTCTATGGGATTATGGTTTCTCCAAAGCTTTCACTCTTATGCCACTAGTCTCCACGCTGTGGCCAATGTGATCTTCCTAAAGCACACATGTATTCACTTGCTTCCTGCTCCACTTCTTTGCTTAAAACTCCGAGGGCTTCTCATTGTTTTAGAATGAAATCCAAACTCCTTAGCTTTGTTTTTATGTGGCACTTATAAGACTACTCAGTCTTCTAGACCTTTCTCTTGATACTTTTTTTTAGTTTTACTGAACTTCTAGGGCTCTGATCCCACTGGACTTCCTTTCTCTTGGTCTTTGTTCATATTGTTTCCTCTGTTTCCCCATCTTCCTTCTTATCTGGTTAATTTCTGCTATTCCTTAAGATTTCTATTCTTCCTCAGCTTCTAGTAAGTTTTTCCGCAACCTGCCGTCACTGCGATAGTTGCCTATCCTTTGTGCTTCTGTGTGGGCGTGCACGCTAAGTTGCCTCAGTTGTGTCTGACTCTTTGCGACCCTCTGGACCATAGCCTACCAGGCTCCTCTGTCCATGGGATTCTCCAGACTAGAATACTGGAGTGGGTTGCCATTTCCTCCTCTAGGGGATCTTCCTACCCAGGAATCAAACCTGCGTCTCTTATGTCTCCTGCATTGGCAGGCAAGTTCTTTACCACTAGCACTACTTGGGAATCTCTTTGTGCTTCTGTAATTCCAATCAGATCATAATACTCTGATATGTCTAAATGTTGACTTGGCTTTCTCCATCACTGAACGCTAAGCTTTGTGAAAGCACTGTCTGTGACTCACCTATTGTGTTTCTCTTGAATTTAAACACAGTGCTTGGCATGTAGTAAGCTCCACTAAATGTTTGTTGAATGAACCTACATCCCTGTGAAGTGAGTGGTACAGTGCTTAGTCTCCCCTCACCCCATACCCTTTTAGGGATGGAGAGATGGACAATAAGGACCTCCCGCAAAGTCACACCAGTGCTTGATGGAAGAGGCTGAACTAGGATCTGAGGGGTACATTTTGCACTGGAAGATCCTGAAGAAATTCCTGACCCAGTGATTTCCTTCCCTTCTGGGCCTGTGGTGAAGAGAACAGGCTGACAGAGATGCCCCTGGTGGGTGGGCAAATGGATGGATTTGTGACAGTTTGATCAATGAGTTTGCCAACATGTGATCCTCTCTCTCCTCCCCCACTCCTTTCCTGTTCACAGCATCAAACTGAGCTCCCAACCCCCGATACAGACTGGGGATGATGAAAAGAACCAGAGGACCATCACTGTCAACCCTGCCCACATGGGGAAGGCGTTCAAGGTTATGAATGAACTGCGGAGGTACTTTTCCTATTTTGCCCGTGCCCTTTTGGAGGGAACTTGCTGGGTGAGCGTCATCAGGGTTTGAGAACAGAAGTCAGAACACCACCACCTAGTGAAGTCTGGCTCTTCCCCACCCCCTCTCAGTCAGGTGGCTTTCCCTTTCGAATTCTGATAGAGACAGAATGACTCCCCCAAAGCTCTCTCTTTTCTTTGTATTTATTTAACACCTATCATTTTAGTGCTTAATCACTGGGGAAAAATCCTTTATGGTTACAGCAGTTCTGTTCATAAACTTGATTTCCAACTGAACCCACTGCTTGAAGGCCAATAATAGAGTGATTGCAACACCTACACACAATTGCAGATTAAAGATTGCAGATGCCATGCATTTTCTTTTGGCCTCTCTCTCTCTTTGGTCTCAACTTTGTCTTTGTCAAGGCAACCACACGGAAGGGAGAATACCTAGCTTCTAAAATGCAATTTAACTCTATAAAGAAAGAAATGAAGTGCAAAAGCACTCATTCTCACTGAGCTGAACAGTGAGGGGTATGCAGACTATTTGTAAGGCCAAGGTGCATGTTTGCTGAGCTTTGTTGCAAGACAGGTTCAGGACATTTAATGAGTTTTTCCTGTATGAAGGCTGTGCATACAACCTCTTCTTTATCAGAGCTTTCTTTGCCAGTGCCATTATTTTTCTTTTTTTATTGAAATACAGTTGATTTACAATGTTGTGATATTTTCCAATGTATAGCAAAGTGATTCAGTTATATACACTTTTTCAGATTCTTTTCCATTATAGGTTATTATAAGACATTGAATATAGAGTTCCCTGTGAAAGTGAAAGTCACTCAGTTGTGTCCAACTCTTTGGGACTCCAAGGACTATACAGTCCATGGAATTCTCCAGGCCAAAATACTAGAGTGGGCAGCCTTTCCCTTCTCCAGGGGATCTTCCCAACCCAGGAATCAAACCCAGGTCTCTCTCATTGCAGGCAGATTCTTTACTGGCTTATCCACAAGGGAAGTCTAAGAATACTGGGGTGGATAGCCTATTCCTTCTCCAGCAGATCTTCCTGACCCAGGAATCGAACTGGGGTCTCCTGCATTGTAGGCAGATTTTTTTTTTTTTTACCAACTGAGCTATCAGTGAATTCTGCAGGCCAGAATACTGGAGTGAGTAGCCTTTCCCTTCTCCAGGGGATCTTTCCAACCCAGGGATCGAACCCAGGCCTCCCATATTGCAGGTGGATTCTTTACCAGCTGAGCCACAAGGGAAGCCCCATGGTTCCCTCTGCTATAAAGTAAATCCTTGTTGCTTATCTATTTTAGATATAGTAGTGTGTATCTGTTAATTCCAAACTCCTGTTTTGTTTCTCTGCTACCCTTTCCCGTTTGGTGATCATTAAGTTTGTTTTCTGTGTCTGTGAGTCTATGTCTCTTTTGTAAATAAGTTCATTTGAATCGTAATGTTAGATTCCACATCTAAGTGATGTCATGTGATATTTATCTTGCTCTCTCTGACTTTCTTCACTTAGTATGACAATCTCTAGGTTCATCTATGTTGCTGCAAATGGCATTTTTTTTTTATGGCTGAGTAGTATTCTGTTATATAATATATATACACACACACACATATATAATAGTGATATATGTGAAAGTGAAAGTTGCTCAGTTGTGTTCAACTCTGCGATGTCATAGGCTATACAGTCCATGGAATTCTCCAGGTCAGAATACTGGAATGGGTAACCATCCCCTTCTCCAGGGGATATTCCCAACACAGGGATCGAACCCAGGTCTCCTGCATTGCAGGCAGATTCTTCACCAGCTGAGCCGCCAGGGAAGCTTATACATATATGTATATGTACACACACACACACACGCACCCATATCTTTTTCTTTTTCGCTACCACCAGCACCTATTTATTACCTTGAAAAAGTCTTAAAGACATTTATCATTTGTAAAATACATCATTATCAGTGCTTTTCCACTTATAAGAAAAACACTGTCGTTAAGCCATAATATGCCATTAGCTACTAGATGCCATCTAGTTTTCTATGATGTTAACTCTGCAGAAATGTACATATATACATTTTATGCATGTTAACATATGAAGTAACAAAATACAGTTAAAAAGGGAAGGAAAAGGAAAATTAACAAATTTCTGCACATATTAATGAATATATATATTCACAGCATGAAAAAAATGTATATACCATATCTTCTTTATCCATTCATCTATCAGTGGACATTTAGGTTACTTTTATATCTTGGCTATTGTAAATAGCCAAGATATGGAGTACATGTATCTTTTTAAATTAGAGTTTTTGTCTTTCCTGGATATATGCCCAGGAATGGGATTGTTGGATCATATGGTAAATCTATTTTTATTTTTTAAGAAATTTTCATGTTGTTCTCCATAGTGGCCGTACCAATTTACATTCCTACTGACAGTGTAGGAGGATTCCCTTTTCTCTATACCCTTTTCAGTATTTATTATTTGTAGATTTTTTGATGATGGCCGTTCTGGTCAAGGTGAGGTGATGCCTCATTGTAGTTTTGATTTGTGTTTCTCTAATAATTAGTGATGTTAAGCATCTTTTCATGTGTTTGTTTGTTGTACCAATTCCATTATTTATCACATATTTCATCCTATTGTATGTTATAACTGTTTATCTCCTCTTTCTCTGTAGTTCATGAGCTTCCTGAGGGCAGGGACAATTTTTGAATCATTTTAATCTCTAGCACCTAGTACTTCATAGGAGCTTGAGTTATTCACTAAAGAGCCCCAGACACACTGGCTAGGCTCTGAGATGTGTGGGAGAGGGTGCAAGATAAAAAAATGATAATAGGTCAATGAAAATGGTCTTCCTACAGTGCAAATAAGTGTTATGAAGGAAAAATGTATCAGGTGCCTGCCAGCTGGTAGGTGTGCAGTAATTATTAGTTTCTTAAAGGGTGTCATGAAAGAAAGCATGTAAAACTGCAACTTTGGAGAACACATCCTAAGGGGAAAGCTGCTTGAGCTAAATTCTAAAGGACAAGTAAGAGTTAGAGAAATGAAAAGTGGTAAGGTTAGGGAGAAGTCTTCCAGGCAGAGAAAATGGCATGAGCAAAGCACGTAAAAACTGAAGATGCGATTGTTGGGTAGGGGTTTGAACTACTTGTAAAAAAATTTCTATGTTCATTTACTTGTTTTTCTTTTCTGCAGGGTCTAGGCTTTGGAATTAAAAGCCAAGTTAAATTAGATTTGTCTTATGCTCTATTGCTCAGTTTTTATTAATATTAGGCTTCCTGCCAGATTTCCTAGAAGCTCCATCCATAGTTGTTTTACGCAGTGGATAGTGCTAACATTCATGCCTAATGTTTCTTTGTCACTAAAGAATTTGTATTATGTTCCCTAGACACTATTGAAGTTCCTCATTTTGTTCCCTTGAGTTTGGCTTGTGTCCTTTGTCTGATTTAAGGCTTTAGGTTTCCAAATAAATAACCTAGCTTTACATGTGGAGGAATTAGAAAAGAAGTTTAATCCAGGCTCAAAATTAGCAGAAGGAAAGAATTAATAAAGATTAGAGCAGAGATCAAATGAAATAGAGATTAGAATGACAATAGGAAAAAAATGAAGCTAAGAGTTTTTTTTGAAAGAAAAGACAAAATTGACAAATCTTTAGCTAAACTAAGACAAAAGAGAGAGGACTCAAAATTATAAATGAAAAAGGAGACATTAAACTTACCATAGAAATACAAATGATTGTAAGAGGCCACTATGAACAATTATATGCCAACAGATTGGATAAGCTAGAATAAATGGATAAATTCCTTGAAACATATAAACTACGAAGACTAAATCAAGAAGTAGAGAATCTGAACAAACCAATAATTATTAAGGAGAGTGAATCAGTAAGCAAAAATGTCTCAACAAAGAAAAGCCCGTGACTGGATCATTTCATTGGTGAATTCTACCAAATTTCAAAGAAGAATTAACACCAATCCTTCTCGAAATCTTCCCAGAACTTGAGGAGGATGAAACACTCCCAAACTCATTTTAACAAGGCCAGCATTACCCTGATATCAAAGTGAGATAAGGACACTACAAGAAAAGAAAACTATAGGCAAATATCCCTGACAAGTATTAACGTAAAAATTTTTAACAAAATACTAGCAAACAGTATATGTATGATCTGGTAAAATATGATCCAATGAAAGGATCAAATACTATGATCAACTGAGATTTATCCCTGGGATGCAAGGGTGATTCAAGGTAAATCAATAAAGATGATATACCACATTCATAGAACGAAGGATAAAAGCCATAACATCTTTTTAATAGAGTAGGAAAAGTGTTTAACAAAATTCAACATCCCATCAAATTGGGTAGAGAAGGATTATACCATAACATGTTAAAAGCCCTATGTGACAAACCCATAGCTAACATCATACTGAACGGTAAAAGTTTGAAAGCTTTTCCTTTAAGGTCAGGAATAAGACAAGGGTGCCCACTTTCACCACTCTTTTTGATCATAGTACTGGAAGTTCTAGCCAGAGTAATTAGGCAAGAGAAAGAAATAAAAGGCATCCAAATTAGAAAGGAAGAAATAAAATTGTCTGTTTGCAGATAACATGGTTCTGTATATAAAAATCCCTACAAGACTCCACCAAAAAAACTATTAGAACTTAAAAATAAATTTTGTGAATTTGCAGGATACAAAATCAACATACAAAAATCAGTTGCATTTCTATACACTGATAGTGAGCTATCTGAAAAAGAAATAAAGATAAGAAACTCATTTTAAATAGTGTCAAAACAATAAAACATTTAATAATAAATTTAACCAAGAAGGTGAAAGATCTGTACACTGAAAACTTGATGAGAGAGATTGAAGAAGACACAAATGAAAGATATCCTGTGTTCTTGCATCAAAAGAATAGTGTTAAAATATTCATACTCCCCAAAGCTATCTGTAGATTCACTGCAATACCTATCAAAATTCCCATGGCATTTTTTTCACAAAAATAGAGAA